TAGGTTGATATTAGTTAAAACATGACCCCGCTTAGTCTTACCGTTTAGCCAGTCAGTAGTACACACTTTTATTCATTTTCTTTTTAGCGAACAAAGGGTTCATCTTGTTCTTTTGATAACCATATCAATGTGGAGAAAAAAAAACATACTACGGGGTCTCCCTAAAAACCCGGAATAAAAAACATACAGGCGGATTGTAGCAACTAAGTTTTTGATCGCAAACTTAGATCTACCATCTTGATTTTTATTTTCATTGCCATCAGTTGACCCTTGTTGTTCCCTACAACATTTGTTCGAGTACTAACAACATATCCCCAACATTTGCTGAACTCTTTAAAATTGGTATAGCGGCCATTTTGTTTTCCACCTATTTAGCCATGGCCATATTCTAGCTGCGTTATCAGATCAACTTTATATCATAATAATTTTGCATTGTCATATAAGACGTTCACCATATTGTATTTAGAATGACATCACTTTACTTATTGAGTTTCACTCATCAATTTCTTTAATTTGATACCAATATCATAAGGGTTGCTGTGGAAATGATATATCGCTATTTTGTTACGTCCGCCATATTGTATTAAAAATGTCGGAATTTAAGTTATCTTCAATCGAATGCGTTTGCCAAATTTTGGCCCGTTAGCTTCATTTGAAATATTTAAGTTTAAGATATTGCGTAACGGTGCAATCGTCTGTGTAGAGATGCTAAAAGGCGCTACTTTTATTACTCACTTTCAAATCGCGGTTCAGGAAAATACTAGAGTTTTCTCAAAACAGTCAGCATTGGCAAACACTTTACACTATCTATCGGAAATCTTGATATATTTTCTGAATCAAAATTTTTCCTTTCCACCTGTTTCCTTATCTTCATTTATAAAAGCTAAAATCTTGCAAGAATTATCCAGATGCCCTTTGCAACATCATCATCATCATCATCATTACAGCCCTTCACAAGTCCACTGCTGAACATAGGCCTCCCCCAAAGAATGCCACAAAGCACGGTCCTGAGCCACCTGCATCCATCGACTTCCTGCATGTCTTACCAGGTCGTCACTCCATCTCGTGGGGGGACGCCTTACACTTCGCCTACCGGTACGAGACTGCCACTCGAGAACCTTTCTTCCCCATCGGTTGTCGGTTCTTCGATCTATATGGCCGGCCCATTGCCACTTCAGCTTACTAATCCGTTGGGCTATGTCGGTTACTCTGGTTCTACTGCGAATATCCTCATTCCTAAGTTTATCACGCAGAAAAACTCCGAGCATAGCCCTCTCCATAGCTCGCTGAGCGACCTTGAGCTTCCTCATCCGGCCAGCAGTGAAGGACCACGTCTCAGTTCCGTATGTCATCACTGGCAACACGCACTGGGTGTACAGGCTCGTTTTCAAGGTTTGAGGTATACCTGACGAAAAGATGTGCCGTAATTTCCCGAACGCTGCCCAACCGAGTTGAATCCGTCGATTGACCTCTCCGTCGAAGTTGGAATTACCTAGTCGGACTATTTGTCCCAGGTAAACATACTCGTCAACAACTTCGAGCTTAGTGTTTCCAATAACTACCGGCATAGGTGTGACATGGACATTAAACATGATCTTAGTTTTGTCCATGTTCATCTTAAGACCTATCCGTTGGGAAACACTATTGAGGTCATTGAGCATAGTGCTTAGGTCTTCCAGCGATTCTGCCATAAGGACTATATCGTCGGCAAATCGAAGGTGAGTGATGTACTCGCCATTGATGTTGATACCGTATCCTTTCCAGTCCAGAAGCTTGAAAACGTCTTCCAATGCAGCGGTGAAGAGTTTCGGGGATATGACGTCACCCTGTCTTACACCTCTCTGCAATTGGATAGGTTTCGTACTCTGGTTCTGTACTCGGATAGCCATCGTAGCCCTACTGTACAAGCACTTCAACGCTTCGATATACCGACAGTCAACTTGGCACCGCTGAAGGGACTGCAGCACCGCCCAAATTTCGACGGAATCAAAGGCTTTCTCATAGTCCACATACGCCAGACATAGTGGCAAATTGTACTCTTCGGACTACTGTACAATTTGCCGAAGGGTATGTATGTGGTCAATGGTGCTAAAGCCCTTTCGGAAACCGGCTTGTTCGGGAGGCTGGAAGTCGTCAAGTCTGCGCGCGAGACTATTCGTAATGACTCTCGAAAACAGCACGTAGACGCGGCTCAGAAGGGAAATCGGTCTGTAGTTCTTCAAGAGAGCGTTGTCACCTTTCTTGAAGAACAAGACCACCGCACCTCTGCTCCACGCCTCCGGTGTAATGCCACCATGGAGGACGGAATTAAAGAGCTTCTGAAGGACTTCAAGTACCGGTTTTCCACCCGCTTTCAGAAGCTCCGCTGTAATTCCATTCTTGCCTGGGGCCTTACCGTTTTTAAGGTGCTGGAGAGCCATTCTAATCTCGCTCAGACTGACGTCCGGGATATCTTCGGAATAGTGTCGGCAACCTTTGCAACATTTCTCCCAATATGAATTTGTATTAGTGTCAGTAGATAAAGTAAAGCGTTCAGTGCTATCCATATCTTCTGTGGAAGAAATTTTATCGTATCGTTATAAAATTTATTCCACAGTGAATAGGAATTTGATCTCTTTTTAATAATAAAATGCAGTAATTTGCTCAATCGACCTTTACTTGATCTCTAAATTTTACAACGACGACCGGTACAACATTTTTTAAACATACCTACACAGCTTACGGACTAATATTGGCATGAGAACTGCTAATATAATTTGACAGGCGCTTCAACATGCCCCCCGGCGTTGAAAGTCTACCTTTCAACCAGATTCTTCAGGTTCAGGAAGCGGACAAATTTTGCTAAATGATCGGCGAACTATACCAGTCGATGTTTTGATATCCGCCACCCTTGATACGCCGTCCGAGCCTGGATGGACTGCGACGATGCGACCCATCTTCCACTTTAATGGCGGTGAATTCTCCTCTTTTAGGAGTACCAGTGAATTTAACTTCAAAGAGCCTTTACAGGAACGCCATTTCATCCGCAGTTGAAGCTCTGATATATATTCCTTGCTCCATCTAGCCCAAAAATGTTGACGTAATTGTTCTATTCGTTGAAATCGGGTTAAAGAGCTTACGGAATGATCTTTATAGTCTGGTGTCGGCAAGGAAGTCAAGGGGCGTCCAATCAAAAAATGACCGGGCGTTAGTGGTAGCAAGTCTTCAGGATTCGTTGACAAAGGTGTGAGTGGTCTGGAGTTAAGTATAGCCTCAATTTGTATTAATGTGGTATTTAGTTCCTCGTAAGTCACATTACAATTGCCCAGCACTCTAACTAAATGATATTTAATGCATTTGACACCAGCCTCCGCAAGCCCAGCAAAATGGGGAGAATAAGGCGGTATGAAATGGAAATTAATTCCTTCATTTGCCATTACCTCAGATAAAGAATTACAATACGTCCTAATAAATTTTGAAATGTCATTGTATGCGCCTACAAAGGAGGTACCATTATCCGAATAAATATTAAGAGGTTTCCCTCTTCTAGACATAAATCTGCGCAAAGCTAATATGAAGGTATTGCTAGTTAAATCACCCACTAATTCAAGATGAATTGACTTAGTCGCGAAGCAAATAAAAATAGCTATATACACCTTTACAATTTTACAACCACGGCCATGGCGAGAAACAGATTGAATTGGTCCCGCATAGTCTAGTCCAATATTTTGAACTGGAAAACCAGAAAGGATGCGTTGGTGTGGTAGGTTGCCCATTATTGGAGAGATGGTTTTTCCTTTCATTCTATTACATCTTACACATTGTCGATAACAAGATCTGGCCAAATTACGACCTCTAATCGGCTAGTACATCTCTCTTATAGTGGCCAACATTAGCTGTGGTCCCGCGTGCATTAACCTTATGTGCTCATAATTGAAGAGCAATTTGGTAAAATAATGAGTGGACTGTATAAGTATGGGATGTTTTTTCTCATAACAGTAATCGGAATTTTCAAGACGCCCTCCAACACGCATTATTTTATTATCATCGAGAAATACATTAAATTTATGCAACGGACTTTTAGTGGGTAAACTTTTATTTTTAATTAACATGGTGTATTCCTCAAATGATTCACTCTGAGATATTCTTATAATAACATTGAGTGCGGTTTGCAACTCTTGATTGCTTAGAGGACCGTGAACGGATTGCTTTCTACAATTATTAATAAAACGCAGCACATAAGCAACGGTCCGATTTAATCTAGTATATTTAGAAAAGCGTTTAAATTCAATTAATTTATTCCCACCTAAATCTTCATTGTTGCTAGAATGAAGTATTCCGTGGAGGATAACATTTGACGATTTAATCTCAGGCAACTCGTGATTAATACTTAAGAAATTTGCAGGCCAGTGAGAGACCTCTTTCTTTAAAAATTCAGGTCCTGACCACCACTTACTCATGGATGAAATATCCTTACAACTCACACCGCGAGAAATATGATCGGCCGGATTACACTCTGTTGGGACATGCCTCCACTCGCAATTTCCAGTCTTCTCTAATATTTCAGCAACCCTATTTCTGACAAAGGGTTGTAGCTTGCTAGGTAACACCTTTAACCATCCTAACACGATGGACGAATCTGTCCAAAAGAAAGTGCGCTTAGCCTGTTGTCTCAGCGATGCTACAACCTTTTGGTAAAGGCGAGCTCCAACAAGTACACCACAAAGTTCCAGTCTTGGGATTGTTATAGGTTTAAGCGGCGCGACACGACTTTTCGCCATCAATAATTGAATTAAAACCTCACCCTGATCATTAACACTACGCACCTATAAACAGGCGCCATATGCTCGCTCAGAAGCGTCCGAGAAAATATGAAATTCAAACAAACTAGGCGAGTCACAAATAACACGACGTGGAATACGTAGAGTATTTAATTTAGGTAAATCGACTATTATCTCAGCCCACATCTTGCTGATTTCTGGCGTCAACTGCTCATCCCATGACAGCTTGAGCAGCCACAACTATTGAAGAAGCATTTTCATCTTAATTACACAGGGAGATAGAAGTCCTAGTGGATCAAAAATCTGAGAAATCACAGATAACATATCACGCTTTGTTCTACCTGAGAATAGCCCTCCTATAGGGAAACAAAGTTGGTCAGTATGTGATTGCCAACCAAGGCCTAAAGTTTTAGTCGGTTCAAAGCCACCAATATTCAAATCAAGCGGAGAAATATCATTTTCACTAACCAGTTGAGATTCATTCGACTTCCACTTTCGCAAAACCATATGAGCTGATGCAAGTGTGGAAGTCACTTTCCGGCGCAAATCTGTAACCTCGTTAATATCATCCCCTCCCGTTAGCAAGTCATCAACGTAAAAATCGTGAATGATCACTTGAGCAACCTTGTCATCGGTACACTCTAAGCCTAATTGTTGGAGGCACCTAGTTGCCAAAAAGGGAGCACTAGAGGTGCCGTAAGTCACGGTGTTAAGTTGATAAGCTTGAAGCTGTTCTGAAGGGTTATCACGCCAGACAATTTGTTGCAAATAGCGGTCATCGGGATGAATGACTATTTGCCGGTACATTTTCTCAACATCAGCTGTGAGAACGTATTTGTGTAGCCGAAAGCGTAAAAGAATGGACAAAAGGTCGTCCTGTACCACGGGACCTACCATCTGTATATTATTCAAGGAAACACCCGAAGAAGTCGGACTGCTAGCATTGAAAACGACTCTTAATTTAGTAGTAGTACTACTTTCCCGAAGCACACCGTGATGTGGTATAAAATGCATCTTACGTGGTAAATTATCATTCTCACATTTCTCCATATGACCCAGACTTTCATACTCTGACATAAATTCTTTATACATTTCATAGACCTGAGATTGACCTGCTAACCTGCGCTCTAGCGATAGTAACACTTTTGAGCTCGTGGCCAAGAATCACCTAATACGTCAGGATTATGTTTTAAGGGTATCCTCACGCAAAATCGACCATTTGCCAGTCGCGTGGTGTTTTTTAAAAAGTGTTCTTCGCATAATTTTTCTTCGTTTGAATAAAGAGACGCAGGGCTTACCTCTTCGAGGTGCCAGAAGCGTACTAATTGTTTTTGTATATCTTCATCTAAATCTTTACTAGCCTCATCTTGAAATATTCTTGTAAAATTACATTTAATAAAGTTAACCCCTTTCTTTACATATCTATAATCTATCGGACCTGATACTAACCATCCTAAGCTAGTTTCACAAAGAATCGGCTGACCGTCCCCTAATTTTAATCTCTGCGTTCCTATTAAGTCCCAAAAGACATCAGCACCTATAAGCATGTCAACGGGAGCAGGTGAGTGAAAATTAGGATCTGCCAGAGAAATATTAGATGGAATTTTTAAGTTTGACAAATTAACATATCTAGTAGGTACATTTTGGGTTATTGATGGTAGGACAAAACAATGAAGATTACTAGAGAAGTTATCATTCAATGATTTTATCGATACCTTACAAATCTTCTTGATGTGTGCCGAAGCATTATTAATACCGACTACCGACTGATTTACATTTTGAGCGGGCAAACCTAGCCTTTGATATAACTCTTCAGTTATTAAACAAGCGTTACTGCCACTATCAAGAATAGCACGAGCAATATATGGACAACCATTCTTACCTATAACTTTAATTAATGCCGTCGATAACAATACGTCGCCTTGTTCACTACACGATGCAGTGCCTACCTTTGCGGATAATGACAGATGTGCGTTAGAATTGGATGACAACTGTGAGCCTGTCGAACTGTTTGTTTGTTCGAAATGACCTTGCATAACGGGCTTATTATTACCACTACTCGTGTTAGATGTATTAATATCTGTAATTGGTTTTGACTGGTAATCTGCGACGTGCACGAGAGTGTTATGCTTTCGGTGGCATATTTTGCATCCTGGCTTTTTGCAGTGATTTGCATAATGTCCTGAATTAAGACAATTGAAACATACTTTATACTCTGGCAGTAACTGTAGACGCACATCGTTACTTAATCCAAGAAACTGAGGACAACTGCTTAACTTATGGTCACCCTTACATTTCGGACACAGTTTGGCGGAAAAGGCCGAACCGTTTTTATTACCGGTATCCCGCACTGAAACCATTGCCTTAACTTTTGGAGCATATTTTATAGAAGAATTTAAACGGTTAGTAGCACCAGAATTAGACATTTCTAGTGTTTCGATTAAATCGGCTCGATTTTTTAAAAACATCAAAAATATATCGAACGTAATAGGTGTATCTTTCTCCAAACGACCTTTAGACTCTTTCCATTCACGATATGTCTTAGCATCTAATTTTTGAGTAATAATATGAATGAGAAGTGTGTCCCATTGTTTAGTTGGCTCACCGAGAGATTCTAGTGCACGTAAATTTTTATTTATTTGGTCAATAAGACGTTTTAAGTTGACAGACAATTCTTTATTAATTGGTGCTATATTAAATAAGGCTGTCACGTGATTTTGAATTAGTAGTCTTTTATTATCATATCTATCACATAATATAGTCCATGCGACGGTGTAATTAGCTGCCGAGAATTCGATTGACTGTATTACCACAGCAGCGGGCCCTTCCAACGACGCTCTCAGATAGTGAAACTTATTTATGTCATCTATCTCGTCATTTGAATGTATGAGGCTCATGAACGTGTCATGAAACTCTAACCAATTATCATAAGAACCATTAAATTTAGGTAGTTGAATAGTGGGCAGTTTAACAAATTTATGATTGCCGGAATGAGAGCCACCGTCACTGCTTACGTCATCTGACTTAATGCAATCTGCTAAGATCCTTTTTGCAAGAGAAAGCGATTTAAAATACAGGGATTCAAAATCAGTTCGTTCTGATATCTGGGCGTCTATATTATCAGTATTACACTCGATGGATAATTGTACCTCATCATATCGTTCATACATTGACTCAATCCTACTAATACGTAATTGCAACTCATTTACCTCAGTAGCAGCCAATGAAGATACCTTCAGTGAATTTAAATAATTTGAAAAGGCTGTTATTTGTCCCTTGTAACTAGCTCGTTTCCTAATTTGCTCCTTATCTTCTGGCATGCTGGCTGGTGTTGGGAGACTAGTGCAAATGCCTGAAATTTATACAAAAAAGAAGTTTATATTTTATAAAATATAATTCATAAGTAGTTTTATACAATTTTGCTTACAGTTGTAAAGAAATGAAAACTAATTCCCTTACTTATTTTTCAAACTCTTAAATAATTAAACAAAATGGTACATGTACTACCTTGATATTTAACTTTATAATTAACAACAATTAAGGGTAACAAATACAATTCAGACCATCAAACAGCTTCACAGGTATGCCTTAGTATGTAATAAATAATATTATGCAATTTTTTCAATTATACACTCTCTTGACTTATTTTTTAAAAAACAGTTTAAACCAATAAAGAGAAAAAAAAAATTATAATATCGTCAATATAATTTAACTAAGCTTTATAATTTGATTTAATCATGATTTGACGGTTATTAGAAACTATATAAAACAATATTAAATGAATTTTAGCCGATTAAATACTTTAAGTTATACGTAATTATTTTATAGGTAATTTGGTACTAACCTGATAAATTAGCAGTCGATTTACACAAAATACTACCTGATAATGAGTGCTGGGTTAAATAAATTAAATAATAGTCCAATATCTAAGGGGCTAAGACTCCAGATTTCTTGGTTAAATATCTTCACTCCCTCGGTGGTATTTCCACAACGAATATTTAAGACTTCCCAAGCGTATTCCACTAAATAATATCTTGTCCAATTACGTTTTTTCAAATCCGGCTTCGATTTAGGACCATGAATAGGAATTTGATCTCTTTTTAATAATAAAATGCAGTAATTTGCTCAATCGACCTTTACTTGATCTCTAAATTTTACAACGACGACCGGTACAACATTTTTTAAACATACCTACACAGCTTACGGACTAATATTGGCATGAGAACTGCTAATATAATTTGACAGGCGCTTCAACACACAGTGATATCTATGATTTAACCTTTTATTCTCCCAGTTCTTACTAACATATTTAATTTTTCATTATCTTCTTGCTAACCCTATATTACCTTGTAAATTTCGAACCATATCTGTATTACTATTCCTCTCTAAAGTACTAGAACATATTGTTCACAATCTTATTATCTTAAGTCCAACAATATTTTAAGTACATTACATTCTGAATTTCGGCCCGGTCACTCCGAGAGCAAGTCTTATTTGACACAATTCGGATGCTGCAGCTATATTAATAGTATATTTGTAGGACGAATAGCTCATCTTGACCGGGGAAGGCCTACGCAATCACAGAATACCAGCGTAAATTAGCAGTTTAACGCTGCTGTGTTTCGTATGGTGAGTTTAGAAAACGGAAGACCCATTTTGACCCAAATGAGGCATTCCATCTTAGTTCTCACGGGTGATAACACACCTGCATTTTTATTCGTAGTCCAGAATAGATGTAGATATCTATCGGCCACAAGCTTACCATCAGGTGGAATTTGTGCGCGTTTGTTGTGCGTCACCCTTATCCTATAAAAAATAAACATACAAAACGTAGTCCTTCACCACTGGATGTATGAGGAAGTTCAAAGTCACTCAGCGCGCTTATGCTTGGAGTTTTTCTGTGTGACAAAATTAGAAACGAGGATGTCCATTATCAGGATGAAGTGGCAATGATCCGGCCGTATAACACAAAGAAGAAGACGCCTCGTGCTAGCAACTTTAGTTTTAGGCAACTCTCCCAGTAGACAGAATGACCACCAGATGTGATGAAATATCAAGGCCATCGATGGATCCTGGTGATTCATGATCGTCTTTCGTAAACATCTATGGATTATTTCTATTTTCAACAATGAACTTCTGATGGACTGTAATGATGATGAAGATCTTGGACCAAAAATATTATATTTGTTTATTTCAGACATACTTTACGCGTTTTAACCAAGTTCAAACGAGGAGATTCTATATTTATTATTCTATATTATTTCAACGGTGGTAGAGCCTTGCAGCAGCTTTTGCTGTTGCACGTATGGGCCGGCTCGAGCCGGGTTAGTACCACGACCTCACAGAATACCGGCGTGAAGTGGAAGCTCTGCTTCCGCGTTTCGTCTGGTGAGTGCAGGTGACCGGATGCCCAATTTCCCCCCCCCCCCCCATCAACATGGTAGCGGAATTACGTCATAAACTACCCCAGGAGGGTACCAGTACCCCTGGAGAATCCCTCGCTGAGCATCCACGACCATGCTATTCCACTCCTGAGCGTGGGTGCTCAGGCTGCCCCGCGTATTCTGGGGGGGGGCAAAATTCCGCTCAACACAATAACTGCTCGGGGCAAACTGAGCAACAAGACCAAGGCGACCCCTGCCACGCTATCCGTGAATTTCTGCAACATCAGGGGACTTCACTCGAACCTAAACGCCGTCCACAACCATCTTGAGACGGCGAAGCCGGCCTTGCTCTTTCTGACCGAGACGCAGGTGTCCTCTCCGGCTGATACTTCGTATCTCTCCTGCCAGGGGTACAAATTGGAGCACTCCTTTGTGCCTCGGGCTGGAATTTGCATGTATGTCAGAGAGGACATCTGTTCTCGACGCCTCGGCAGTCTTGAAGGTTCGGACCTGTCCATCCTTTGGCTACGCGTAGACAGCGACGACCATCCGCGCGTCTACGTATGCCTCTATAGGTCCCATAGCGGTAATGCCGAAACGGACCGACTCATCGACCACGTCCAAATGGCTACAGATTCCTTGCTACAACAGGTCCCATCCGCAGAGATCGTGATCCTTGGCGATTTTAACGCCCACCACGCCGAATGG